ATCGAGCAAAAATGTAAATAGTAGCAGCATGTTCGAACAAAAATCGATCTCTTCGTAAGAAATCGCATTGATCGAGACATCAAAAGTAACTTATCATTGAAAGCCAACCAACAAGAAACATTGCTCTGTGTGCATAGCAAGAGAGAAGGATGAATCGATTTATCACAAGGGAAATCATAGCAAGACATCGACCGATTGTAGGAGAAATCATAAATGAAGAGAAGCTTACCTGAGGAACTGGTTTGATTTCCAGTAGAAGGAATGGTCGAAAGTCTATTTCTATCTGTTGATGAACTGGTTTGATTTCTCTCTGTTAATGAGTTGGTTCAATTTGTAGGAGGAATGGTGAAGGTCGATTTTTCTCATTTGATGAACTGGTCGCTTTCGTGAGGAAGGAGGTATATCTGAGAGAAGTTTAGTTTTAGGGTTAACATTTTTAGAGTGAATAACACTTTTGGTCCCTGTAGTTTGTCGAAAGATTGATCTGTCCCTTCTAATGTTGCTAATTGACGGTGTTAATTCCAGGAACTTTAAGTGTTATGAAATTGAAAATTTTGGGACCATCAGTATAGATAGTTTGTTTTAGGGATCAAATCAACCAGCTTTATATATCACAATGGTGTATTTAATTTGTTTGAAAAACTTCAGGAAACATTTAGTTGTTCAAAAAAAATCAAATACTGAATCCTTCAATATACGAATATATGTTGGAATTTTCGTAATTCTTACAAAATAAAACTTAATTGTTAAATATAGAAGTTGATTATGAAGAAGAAAACATATATGTTTTAAAGATGTACCGTTAGAAAATAATATAATTTAAAAAATGATTCTTTTTTCCATCTTTAAAAATAAACAAACCAACAAATAACCCTAAACTTAAATATAAATAAATCTATACTATATTATAATGCATTTGATAAAAACTCTTAAAAACCATTTTTTATATATAAAATACTGTTTATTGATGCATATTATTTAAAATTCAAAGTTACAAGTAATTTTGCATAAGTACAACTTATTAAAGCTCTATTTTTAAATTCGTGTAACTAACTGCATATAAACGTAATCAAATACATGATAAACATTCATTTTAAATATAAAAAATCCAAATTATAATTAATATAATCTAACAGAATTTTTAATCATTATTTTTATAAAAAATTATATTATTAAATCAAAAACAAATTACTTTGTTACTAAATCTAAATTAACATATAATAAAAAATAAATTTAATAAGTTACACCAAAAAAACAAGAATTATTAAATAGTTAATTTGATTTAATATCGATTTATTTTTTTCAAAATTTTATGCTATCTTCAAATTTATATTTCATTAAAATATCAAAACATTATTGTTTTCTCAAAACCATATAAAATCGTATTATATCGATAGAGAAGAATAAAATTAAGGGTAAATTGCATGAAAAAATAACGTACTTTAACTTGATTCCTATTTTGGGTAACGTACTTTCAAAACTTTCATTTTGGTACCTAAGATGTAAAGTTTTAAACATTTAAGTACCCAGGTAACTGGTTGAAGTATTAACCGGTTATCATACTGATGTGGCGAGTGATGTGTTATCCAACTTGGTATTATTTGTTGACCTAGTCAGTGACGTGGATTTTTTTTAATCTAAAATTAGTCTTTTTTTTAGTCTAAAATTAGTCTTCACTGGGTTATCCGGGTACTTAAATGTTTAAAACTTTACATCTTAGGTATTAAAATGGAAGTTTTAAAAGTACGTTACCTAAAATAGGAATCAATTTAAAGTACTTTACTTTTTCATACAATTTGTCTTAAAATTAAACATTAAAATAAAGATTTATCTTACTGTATTATGTGAATATCCTTCAAGTTAACTTTAAAAAGTTAATACCAAATTAAAAAATTGATATTAATAAAAACAAATTGACATGATAACATAATATCAATATATAAAAAAAAAAAAAAAAAAGACTTCATAAAACTTACACCACCACGTGAACCCACTTGCTAACAAGTAGGTATGCACATGGCATAAAGAGAAGTTCATAGTTACATGTTAAAGCTCCGAGTTTGGCACGAAGAAAGGTTAATTATAAATATCGAGTATCATGTGTGCATTGAAGGATTTGAAATCGTTTAAGAGATTTTGAATTACTGTAAGTTGTTAATCGCTAAATATTGGGTTCCGATGAGAAGGAGAGTTGAGGTGAGAAACGTAAGAAGAGATCTCCACCCTCGGATGCACATTAAGATAAGATGCACCGAGATACTTCGGTTCAATTCCCATAAGAAGCGCAATTCATAGGTGGAAATTGATCAAAGGTTCAGACCCCTTATTATGCTTCTCACCATCACTTTTCTTCTCACACGATCTTTCACCTAATTGCTAAACTATTAAATGTAATATTAGGGTAGATTAGCTGGTTAGTTGTTATCTTTCGTTAAAGAGGGTGGCGGGTTCCATCTTTCTCCCTGCTCATAATACAGTACAGATAACAAAAAAATCTCTCTCCGGCATTTAATTTTAAAAAATTATCCAAATTTTAAGATTTTTGTTTCTCTCTCATAATTACTCTGTTTTGAAAATTTTATTGGTGCAAAAACACAACCTAAAAGCTTTGAAAATTTTATTTTGTGAAAAATCTGTTAAAACTGCTCTTAGTTATTCAATATTTTTGTTTAAATTGTATTAATAATAACCAATGGCGGTGTTAACAGTGTTGATGATTGTGGTAGTGGAGAGTGATGGATCGATTATTTTTGTTGAGCAGATGCACCTTTAAGATGGATCAAAAGCCCATAAAGTCGTCTAATGTGTGCTTAACCGAATTCCACAGTTTTGATAGATTTTTAAAAAAAAAATTTTTGGTTTATTTAAATAGATTTCTTCAGTTGTTCGGTTGATTTTGAGGAAATATATTTTGAATTTTTGGTTTAATGTTCCTTTCACATAGAAAAAATTATACTTTTACAAATAAGTGGAACAGATAGACTGAACTGCTTAATGATGACGAGTTAAAATATAAATGAAAGAAGACAAATATTCAATCAACGAACAAGGTGAAGACCATCTTTCAGTTAAAATTAAATTAACCATTTGATCATACTCCAAATGTGTTTAAACCACATATATAAACAATTTTTAATTGGACAAAAACGCCCCTCAAATAAATCTTTAACGAGCAGCTTCCTTCTATTTTCGTTTTTATAATGGATGTGGTTCCTGCTACTAATATCGTTCAATAAAATGCAGTTAAAAAGGGTCATTACATGTTAATTTTTTTTTAGGGACGTTAGTCGTTAACTTTGGTAGACCTTGAGGACCAAATTTGCATCTATCAATGCTTTAAGCATAAGGTAGTGACAACAATCTATATTATATTATAAAACATTTCACAAACTTTTTAAAACTATTTTTTATGCATGAAGTATTGTACATTGATGCATATTACTTAAAAGTTCAATATTATAAGTAAATTATGCACAAATACAACTTATTAAAGCTCCATATTTGAATTCGTGTAACTAACTGTTGATATACATAATCAAATAGAGAATAAATATCTCATTTTAAAATATAAAAAATCTGAAATATAATTAGGATAATTATCGAGTTCTAACAAAATAATTAATTATTATCCTTATAAGAAAATTATATTATTAAACCAAATATAAATTATTTCGTTATTGAATCTAAATTATATTATAATAAAAAAATTGAATTAAAAAATTACACAAAAGCATGATAAATTTTAAATAGTTAATTTGATATAAATATCGATAATTTTTGTCAAATTTTTATGATATCTTCAAATTTATATTTTATTAAAAAATAAAAAACATCATCGCTTTTTCAAAATCACATAAAACCATATTATAACATCGTCTGAGATAACGAATAAAATAAAATATTAAAATCAAGATATATCTCCCTGTATTGTACGAGTACCCTTCTAGTATAATTATAACTTAAATTAAGGTTCCAATATTAAATCATTTGATAAAAAATGGGTTATTATTTGGGTTGGGTTGGGTCGGATTGGATGGTTTGTCAGCGGCCCAATCCAAAAATACGTTTTGGGGGAAGTTAGCTGATTTAATCATGTTTTAGGGGCTGTTTGTTTGCCTCTTAATGGTGACATTAAGAGGCAGC